AATGTCACTTTAACATTTCTGCCATGCTTTTATTTCTGTCTGTGACCCCATCAGGGAGACTTTCCCTTATTTTCTGGGGTGTGTGGTCATGCCTGACTGGAAGACACAGACAACAATGAAAACATTGTCAGAGGTTCTAATCATTCCCCACGCTACCAAAAGTGTGTCTTTATTTTTGTTTGTAGCTCCCCAATTAGAGAGGCTTTCCCTCACTTCCTGTCCAGACAGGAAATCATGAAAGTCTCCTTGTTAAGGACACAGACCGCATTGAATACATTTTCAGAGGCTCTAACCATTCCCCACTCTAATCAAAGTGCATCTTTATTTTTGTCAGTAGAGCCCCAACTGGAGACGCTTTCCATCACTTCCAGTCCAGACAGGAAGTGAGGAAAGTCTTCTTGCTAAGGACAACAGACAAGAATAAAAACATTGTCAGAGGTTCTAATCATTCCCACTCTACTAAAAGTGTTCATGTTTTTGTCCCTAGCCCCCCATCAATCGGAGAGAATTCCCCTCACTTCCTGTCCAGACATAAAGGGGTCTATTCACTAAGCTGTCGTAGGCAGCCGAGTCAATAACCGACCCGAAGTGAGCCGTACGCTGTTCGGCTATTCACTTCAGGCTGGTACGGCTGATTTCAGGCGAATATCGGCTGAAATCAGCCGTACATCGGCTTGCTTTGTGTGGCTTGGGGTCGGCCGCACATGCTCAGCAATGACAGCTAGCTCCACCCAACTGTTTTCTATTGGCCGGGCGTTTCTGCTGCCGTCAAAAGAAAAAAAACACCATAGGAATGCATGGCTAGATTCCTATTGGCTATTTCACTTTGCAATAGCAAACTAGCTACTGCACTCGCCCTCTGCTGCTGTCAATCACTAAAAAGGGACCTGATGGAGAACTTCAGGTGCCCTCTGCTGATTGACAGCAGCAGTGGGCGGGTGCAATTGCTAGTTCGCTACTGCAAATTGAAATAGCCAATAGAAATGTAGCTATGCATTCCTATGCTGTTGGTTTTTTTTTTATTCTGACGGCAGCCAACGGCTCCGATGTCAGAAGAAAAAAAAAAAGACAACAGAGCAGGGAAAGGTTTACTCTGCTCGACCGATCTGTCTGTGCAAGGGGCCTGGAGCCAGCCTTGAGATGACGGCTGGCTCCGCCCAGAAGTCAGTAGCAGGCTGTCGGCCGGCCAATGGCCGTCCGGCCAGCTTCAGCTTTCACCTCGGCTCAGTCAAGCCCCTCGGCCTCAGACTGAGCCCCTCGGCCAACTTCGGGAGCTGTACGGGCTATAGTGAATAGCCCGTACAGCAGCCCTTCGGTTCTACTGAACCGAAGGGGTCCTGGGGCCGAAGCTAACCAAAGGATCAGCTATATCTAGATCTTTCGTCATCTTAGTGAATAGACCCCAAAGTAAGGAAAATCTTCATGGTAAAGACACAGACAACAAAACAAACATTGTAAGGAGTTCTACTCATTCACAACCCTACTCAAAGTGTGTCTCTGTCAGTAGAACCCCCCACTGCCACCACCAATTGGGGAGGCTTGCCCTCAATTCCTGAAAATGTCCTGAAAAAAAGGGCACCTTTTACCACCCAGTATGTAGGCAAAGCACATATCCCTGCCACAGCCCTGATTACAAGAACTGATATGCAGAAAATGATTGGATAAACTGCTTTGTCATCTCTATTTTTTCGATTTAGTGCAGCATAATATTTTTGGTGGAAAAATAGTACATTTTGTACAGAGATGTATACATTAGACCTAAAGCAAGAGGGACGAATGAGGATAAATTAAGGGACAGAGGGATTTGCTCTCACATAAATTACAGTTGGGAACTCTGCTCTGTGCACCTGGAGAGCCTCCAATAATCTACAGCAGACATGCAATATAAATTATCTCCCAGGGGGGGATGCAGAAGAACCAGTTCCTGTATGTTTATTCTAATTCTTTATACATTCATAACCTAAATTCTCCATTTTTGTTAGAAGGTTATTTTATATGTCTGTCTTGCCACCAATAAATCATTTTTAATTTTTTTTTCTTCCCATGGGAGATCTTTCTAGATTATTTTCTAACACATGAAACATGCCAAAGGGTGACTTAAAGTGCACCTTGTGCCATGTCCACTTATTTATTGAGGACCCCCTTCCTCGTGCCATAGTGATGTGCTACAATTAAAACTAACTGTTAGATACTCAAGATTTTACTGCTGTCTGTGTCTTTGCTGGGGAGGTTTACCCTTCCTATTTGTCCTCGTGATCAATATTACTGAGATAGAAAGTAAGGTAAAATCCTTCAGTGGGAGACACCTGTTACTGTGACAACTCTCTAAGATGGGAATAGAGTAATTTTTCTAATTTCCTGTTGCGGTTTTAGGACAGGAAGTGAAGGGAAAACAGACAACAGAAATAGACAGATAGGTGTTTTAACCCTTTCTTACGCTATCTAAATGCTAAAAAAAAAAATGGCTGCACATACACTTTCATGGCTTGCGGGGGGTGATGTCACCATCCTTCCAGCCAACTAGATCCCAGGGAATGCTAAGTAGTCCACATCTCAAAAGATGATGCTCCAACACAGTGCAAACGCACCTTCTCCTGAAATTTGAGCTATTCAGTACTCAGTGCATACATAAATATATACAGCAATCAGGATATTGCCATGAGGATGGTGATGTCACCCTTACCTAGGTACCGCATGTGGAAGCAGGGGTAAGGTATTTTAATTAACTTTTTTACCCCGAGTAATTTTTTTAAATTGACATGCAGCATTTTGATCCGTGCTATTTAAGAGCAAGGTCTTCTCCTTCCCTGTGCAAAACTACAATTTCTACATACTAATTGAAGTGAATGGTATACAGGAAGGGGTTTTTTTTCTTTTCTTTTTTTTTTTTTAGAAATAACAATAGAATAATGTTTTTAATGAAAATGGAAGAAAGATTGTTTCAACAAAATAAATACTGAGGATCAATATGACCTTTTTCAGTACATGCAACTGTTTACTCCATGCAGAGAAATATAAAAGGCTGAGTTACACAGAATATCTATAATTAGTTTCTCATGACCTTCTATTTCGAACTTCAACAATCTTCTTCCTAAGGGTATTAGTAATTCCACAGAGTATAATAAATGATGAAAAAGAAAACACTAACACCTGCCTGATGAAGAAGAATACAAAGTAGAAAATTATGTGACTTACCAAAGATCGTCCTTGTATCTCTTAGACCAGCGGTCGCCAACCTTTCGGACCTCACGGACCACTAAATTAATCATTTTAAATCCCGCTAATCTGAATTTTTAAAACACACACACACACACACACCTATATATGAGGAAACAAAAAAATATGAGAATATATCTATATATACACAGGCGCACATTCCTTGTGACAGCCGCTGCTTGAGGGAGCCTCCGTGCCGCTTCAATGACGGCCTAGCCTGCACGGCATCAGAGGGGCCTGGGGACCACCAACATTTTCTCAGGGACCACCAGTTGGCGACCGCTGTCTTAGACAATTCTGAAGCGATCGGATATCGGAACACCACATTGTTTATCTCAGCAAGATATGAACATGTATGTAAATGTAATAAGGAGGACTGTATTGATCCAACAGTAATAAGGATTGCATGTATCTGTAAAATCAATAAAAAAATCTTATGGTAATCAGGTGGTTACCTAACACAAAAAAAAGCAATTATGAAACTTCTATCCCCGGCTTGAAGTTCACCCTTAACGGGCATAATTTCCCACTGTCTGTGAATTTCAGTGACATCTCTATATTTTATAGAGCCTATATTGCTGAACTTTATTTGAGAATATAAAGCATTATGGCCCTATGAGCAGTCTTTACAGCACTTTTCTCTCTGAGCGCTGAGTTCAGTCACTACTGCGACAGAGAGAAAGAGCGGACTGAACATGAGTGGTTGGGCAAGCCAAGTCCTAAAAACCAAGTGCTTATTTGCGTGGGCCTGGGGCCACGCATCCAACAGTCGGTCTGTCCTTAGCAGCTTCAAAAGTAAGTATTGTAGCCCCCATCACCTTTTATGGGGTGGCTACTAGAAATGTAGTGATAGCCAGAGCTGTAGTCAATCTGGCTGGATTATAGTTGGCATTTATCTGGTTAATTCCAGGTGTTCTGGCATTGATTGTACCTACCTGGGTGGAGTGTGACTTTACTGTAGTGTGGGAGTCAGTGCGATCAATGGGCCACTCTCAACCAGTGTTGCATGCTAGGTAAGTGCTTATTTACTCAAGGGAATTGCACTGTGCTCAGTTCGGGACCAGCCACGGATTAGTCCAGGTTTGGATGCTGATCAGCCTGCCCTCTGGGGTTTGGCAGGGAGGGGGGGCGCATTGATGAAACCTGGACTTGGGGCAGCAGAGAGAGTAAATCCCGTCCTGCCCGGAACATAGTGGACCTCAGGAGCAAGTCTGGAGTCTGAGGGTCAGTGCGGGCTCCACAAGTGTGGGCTCTAGGAAGTCAGTGCGGGCTCCAGGCGGTCAGTGCGGGCTCCAGGAGGTCAGTGCGGGCTCCAGGGGTGTCGAAGTCTGTCTTGCAAAGGAACCTGGCCTTGGGGCAGCAGAGAGAGAGTAAATCCCGTCCTGCCCGGAACATAGTGGACCTCAGGAGCAAGTCTGGTGTCTGAGGGTCAGTGCGGGCTCCAGCAGTGTGTGCTTCAGGTGGGCAGTGTGGGCTCTAGGAAGTCAGTGCGGGGTCCAGGCGGTCAGTGCGGGCTCCAGGGGGGTCGAAGTCTGTCTTGCAAATGAGCCGGCTTTCCTGCCAGGCTGTCAGTTTATCTGGCTGGCACACAGCAAATGCAGACAAGCTGAATGTAAACAGGAGAGGGCCGCGCCTGCGACTCCGGTTGGCAATGTATGTAAACACGTTCGGATCGCAGGCACAATGTGCTTTGCGATCCCGTGCGGCTGGAGGGCGTGGCTACGGCGCCATTCACTTGAATGGCCCACCACGCCCCCTCCTACCCCACTAAAAAGTGAGCCAGCCGCAATGCGAGGCAGTGCGTTCCGGCCAAAATCGGGCCGGAACGCACTGCATCTAGTGTGACTGAGCCCTAAGAGCAAGCTGGCTCCAAGAATCAGGTGAGTATAACTTTATTTTCCTCCCTACGAACCAGCAGTTAACCCTTTCAGAGCGGTGATAGCTCCACTGCAGGAAGGGAGGGGGGCCAAGATAAAATCTTGCACCAGGGCCCTTTGTTCCGCCACTGGCTGAGGGTACCCGGCTGATGAAGATATCACTGACCATTGCCTCAGAGGATAGTGTGACAGGTGGATTGGGCGGGGGCAGCAACTCAGCCACGCCCACCTCCCCCTTTAACATGCAAGTCAGGCATCGGAGGTTCACAATGATGAAATCCCGGCTCCTTTGTGCTGCTGCCCGCCTGTGATTCCAGAAGCAGCTATGGGTTGCTAGGAGGGGGCATAATAAATTCACTTTCATTAATGGCGAAGACAACGCGGACGTAAAACTGCTAAGGGGTCTCACATAGAAGATAGACGACGCAGCGAGCTCCTGACCTGTGCACCGGTGACTCTCTTCCCTGCACTGACGAGGAACGGGTTAACAGCTAATAATAATGGCTGTCAGCGGTGCGGAGAGATTATAAAGATGTGCCGGCTCCTGCCTCGTCTCACTCTATGCCCGGGGCATTAACCAGCGGAGAGGAAGTCCCGCTCCCCCACTCATGACACGGACGGTCACCGGACACAAAGACAAGTCCTGGAGGACGCGGACCGGACACACACAACTGCTGGAGGACGGGCACACAGACAAGTCGTGGCGGACCGGACACACAGACAAGTTTTGTTGTGCAGAGTAGTGGCGGTCTGCAGGGTACATGTCACCTCTGTATAGTGAGGAGCCTGGTCTGCTGATACCTCGGTGAGAGAACTGACCATCTACCTGTGTTTGTGCAGCTTTCTTACTATGATCAGAATATGAGCCCCATGTTGTGCTGCGTTAAGCTGCGGAACAAAGTGGAAAATTCTGCGTCCGTCGTCGGTATTTGGACTCGGCAGTAAACGGGCGTATTGCGTACAATGTGGCCGTATTTTCTGTGACGGGTGCAGCGTACAACCGCCACCAGTCAGCCTATAGAATCAGGACCTGTTCACACCGGTGCGGGGCAATAATCGCCCAGTTCTGGGTGATTAATACAACGTAACGCACATAATGTGTGGGAGGTGCTTTGCGTTGCCAATCATTTGCATGCGCTCCTATTTTTAAGTGCAATGCATTGTGTTGCGGTGTGATCGATTGCATTGGGGGGAGGAGCATTTGAGGTGCCATTCAAATGAATGGCAACACGACGCACCTCCTGTACTGTAGGTGCATCATGCGGTACAGTGCGTTAATCATACAAAACCGTACGATGGATGCATCACACCAGTGTGAATGGGCCCTTAAATAGGAGGAGGTGGCTGCACATTTATATAAGCAGATCCAACCAAGCGGCTATATGAGTACATGGTCACATACGCCTCCCCGAGCCTGCTTTCACTGCATTAGGCGCAGGCCCACGTACACTGTACATGCCGCCGTATTCCCGCTGGAGGAGACTACGCTGTACATGCCGGCATATCCTCCAGGTGCAGAGTACAGCCTCACATTAAAGAACTCGTTCACATGGGTGGTAAAAACACTGCGTACAGCTGTGCACAGCACATGCAAAACACACAAGCGCATGCACACAGCTGCGCCCGGGGCCGTGTTTTTGCATTGCGTACAGATGTGCACAAAAAAACCCCAGCTGCATTTGGTGCCGAAAATTGTGTGTTTTTTACACACGTGGAAACGCATGTGAAGGTTCTGGAGCTTAGGGATTGCATGCAGTGGTAGAAAAGTGTGTACACCTAAAAATACATCCGGGCCGAATACACGCATATACACGTCTACAAAGATGCAGATTTTACGCATCAAATTCTGTGCTTGCGTTTCTTTTATGCCTGTGCGAATGAGCCCTTAACCCTTGCAGAGGCTATACACCACACTAAAGGGTTAACTGCTTGTTTTGTCTAAGGAGCTAAAATAACAAAGTTCTACTCACCCGAACATTGATCCCAGCTGGCTCCTAGACTGCTTACTTCAGTTTCACTCCCCTACCCCCTCCACGCCAGTGGCCTTGGGTCCTAGGAGTCATCATGTCCAATACATTGTATATGTCTGTGCAGGTTCTCATTCATCCAGGTCATGGTATATTGTCCAGTTGCCTTGACTTAATTCTTTACAGAAATGGTGTATAGGATGTGAGGATGCCAAGAGACATTCCATGACTGGAGCAGAGAGGGAGACAGGCTGGGGGGGACTGGTCTAGGTGTCCGCCAGGAAGGCTCCCTAGACAAAACAACCACCTAACCCTTGCGGTGCAGGGGTAGCCCCACTGTAAGGGTTACGATTTTCTTTGCCCAGGGTTCTCCATTAAAGTCAGTACTGATACAAATGCGGCCGTGTGATTCATCTTTAAAGTGGAAGTCAAGTCTACTTAAAAAAATAAAATGGGGGCCCCAAGGAGGCTTTAGCCATAATGTGCTATTCGTACATTATGGAAGACTTGCCTACCAAAGCAATCCCCTCCAGCACTGTCATGTCCACTGGTGCTTCCATGTCTTCTTCTGGCTTCCAAATCTTCGTCCATTTGATTGGCCAGGCCTGGATGATGTTACTCCCGTGTATGCGCATGTGCCGATCCTGTACACTTACCTGTGCATGCATGGCTCAGTGTACAGAGACCAAACAAAGTGCCGATTGGTAGGAAGGAAGATCTATGTTTGTAGAGACTTGTAGTCCCGTTTGTCATGAATAGTCTGCCAGTCAGCACATTTTACAGGTTAGCCTTACCCAGCACCGGGGTCCTTCCCCTAAGTTTGCAGAATCCAGCGGTTCCTGTAGGCGCCGCTAGTCTTGGAGCAGGAGGGTGCATTGTTTGCAAAATGCACCCTCCTTGCTATTGACGGCGTATTTCTACACATCACCGGGAAGTAGGTAGAATGGGTGCCTGTAGGCATGTGCCTACTCTGCCTAACGGCAAATCCGGCCCTGTATATACTGTAGAGGGGTGAGCATTGTCATGACAGGACAGGTGGTGTGTTATTCCCAGAATTACCAGGTAAAAATAGAGGTTATACTAATGCAATCACCTCATCTAAGATACGATGCACATCCTATTCCCACACCTCTTAGCCAACAAATATATCTCATTTGCTCCTCGTGTGCACTTTTAGGGGGTCTATTTATAGAAATAAATGGCATAGTTATTCATCCACCAGCTATTGTTAAATTGGAGCAAAATTGAATGTTCCTCTAAGGCTATTTTTCTCTCCTGGTTGAATGTTCAACTATTATAGACAATACTGAGTGAGGACAATACCACATTATGGCCACAAGATGGCGCTCAGGATTATAGGAAATAAGTACATCTTAGTGTCGAGATGCAATGTAACAATTCTGGAGCCGGCTGGAGGGAATTCAAAGAGGAATGTAAAGATTGTGATTACTTACTACAGAAGGGAAAATAACCTTAAAGTGATATTAAAGGCAAAATGTTTCTATCCTATCTCAAATGTTGATTAATAAACCGGCATCCGTTAGTGATTTAATGTTTAGTCTCCTGCAGAATCAGCTAGTCCCCTGAGCACTGGTCCTGGTTTAGGGTGGTTGCTTTCCCTTGCAGGGTCCTATGGAGCCACCCTTGTGTGTGCTAATAAGCTGTGTGTCTCCGCAGACGCACAGCAAGGCAATCTGCTCCCCCAAGCCTCCCTTCTCTCACTTAGTAGAAGGACGGCTGCTGAAGACTGCTCTGTCCGTTGTGATGTACTGGACAGGGAAGCTGATGGACAGGAAGTTCAGGGAAGCTGAGCTGAGAGAGTTGGAGCCAACTGTTTGTGAATATGATGACTAAGTGTTTGGGCAAAAATGTAAAGAAACACTTTCCTGGACAATGTTTATTTGATCTGGATTCAGTATTGAAAAAAGTTTAGGAGTTCGATATTAGGAGCTTGCCCCAATCTCACGACCACTTGTTGAATCACACAGAATGAATGTACATACAGGCCAGCTGTGCAAATATTTTATATGAATTGGCCCAGTAGTGTGTTTTATAGTGTTGGCTGTGCAATGCCCTCAATGTTACTCTCTACCAGTGTCATTCAGGCACTTAGCTAGGAGGTAAAAAAAAAACGCAGCTTTGTTAAACCAAGACTGAAGTTATCGGGTGTGTGAAGCCACACTAGTCACAAACTCAGAGAGGTCCTGCAACTATACAGATCCAACCACTGATCATAACCCCGCATACAAGATCAGTACATCTATTGAGGGACCAGCCACAGGTCCCAATGTAGTTCAAATACGCATATAGAAATATCCAATCTATACAAATGATTTCAGATAGCACAGTGCCTGCATGGTTAGTGGCAGCACTGGGGTCCCAGGCTTGACTTCCAGCCAGGACACTATCTGCATGAACTTTGCACGTTCTCTGTGTGAGTTTCCTCCCACACTCCAGAGACCTGCTGGTTGGTTTGTTGGCTCCTGTCTAAACTGACCCTAGTATGTGTGTGTATATGAATGTGAGATAAGGACCTTATATTTTAAAGAACGCAAGGCAATGTATTAACCCTTGCAGTCGGGCTAACCCCACACTGCAAATGTTAAGTGATCCTTTGTGTCTAGGTTAAAAAAGATCTACTCACCCGAAGCTCCAAGCAGGATTTTTCTTAGACCAGTCCTTCCAACGTCCCCCCACCTCCTCCTGAAGCAGTCTAAGGCCCTGTAAATCATTCCATTCTATAGTGTATAAATATGAGAGCGCTGAGGAAGATTCCAATGTGCTGCGGAGTGAAAAGGTCATGTATACTTATCAGTAGTCTCTTATATCTAACCTCTTGGCCCTATCTGCATGCTGTTTGCATGTACTTAGTTGGAGCCATATTATACCTTGCTTGGCTGTTTCCATCAATAAGCAGGTATGTGGGAGTGTCTGCCTACAAAAGTGACAAGTCCCGGCGTGGTAAAAATAAATCTTGCATCCTTCTTCCCAGCATTCCCTTAAGGTGCCCATACACCTTACGATTATCGGACGAAACTTTTCGTCCGATGATCGAACCGTCGTACGACGGCCCCATCCTGCCCCGATTATCGCAAGGTCCAATTAGCGGTAGTTAAAAAAAACACCTGGACGACTTGCGGTAATTGACCGCAATTCTTTTCGTTTGCACATGCGCAGTGTTAATCGTACGACTTTTGACGGACGGAAACGCCACCAACCATGCGAATATCGTACGATCGACCAAAGTTTTCAAACATGCTTGACCGTCAAAAGTCGCGCGATTGTACAGTACTATCGGTCGGGCACTCTATTCACACGTTACGATTGTCGTACGAAAAGTCGATCGCATACGATTGTCGTACGATAATCGTAAGGTGTATGGGCACCTTTAGACATGCAACCTAATGAAGACGATAACCCTCGTAATGCAGGATATTTCTAGAGATGAGGAATGATGACTTCCAGCTGTGTGCAGACATCCAGGGGGAGCACTGAGCCAGTTACAGTAGCAGATTTTTGTGAAATCCCAGATACAAGCTGACTACTATTTGTCATTTTTGGAAAGATGTAAATTTAGCATTTTGGTCAGCTTTACAAGATCGCAAGATCGTGGCTGGCTGTATGATAAAATGGTAAGGGATTTTTAAATAAAACTAGCAGGGTCAGATCATGTATTTCTTGTGACCGATTTATTTCTTGTGACCGATGTTTGCCACACAAACAAGTTATTTGATATTTCTATAATTTGGGAGCATTTTTTTTTTTTTGTACGGGTACACATGTGCTTGGTGGTTTCCTACAATATCCTCCAAATGTTGACCCTAATTAGTTGGGATGA